GGTGCGATTTTTATCGTCCCGCTGCCGTACCGCTGCCGTCCCGCACTTATGGATTCAGACATTGATATTTCTGTTGGATCGATTTTTATCGTCCCGCTACCGCCGCCGTCCCGCACATATGGATTGTCACCTTGTCTGAATCCATAAGTGCGGGACGGCATCGGTACGGCAGCGGTACGGCAGAGATACGGTAGCGGGACGATAAAAATTGCACCCAGGAGCGATTCTGCCGCTGCCGCAGCTCTGCCGCCAAAAAAAAAAAAAAATGAATGTGGCGGAATAAGGTTGACTGTGAAGAATCTCAGTGTGATGCAGTCAATTCATTTGACACAGAAAACTTGCTGAAACCATTGCACCCCTATGTCGTCGTTCATCCACCCATTTTCTTGATTTCCCAAATGGTGCCTTCTGGGCTGTCCTGAATGGCAAAGGAATGGATGGACCTGTTCGTTATGCTAGTGACAAAATATCAAGATAATTGCAACTTTACAAATCATCAGCAGTATTCGTTCTTGTTTCATTAACCTAGACAGTTTTGACTGGGTAGGTGCCATGCTGCTCAAAACAAAAAAGGCGCCAACATGCCTTCCCCTATTGAATTTGCCACTTGCGATATCGCACAGTTCGTCCCGCTGCCATTCCGCTGCCACACATATGGATTTAATGTGACTTGCGGTACCGCACATATCGTCCCGCAGCTGTGCCGCTGCCGCTGTCGTCCCGCACATATGGATTGCTACCTTAAATACAGTAACATGTCCCTCCCTTCTTTTTAAAAATTGTTCTTCATGTCTTGCTGTCAAATGTTTTCTTCTTGTTTTGTCGTGTCGTCACCCAAATCTACCACTCATTATAACTCGTATTTCTTTTGTTAGTTTTAGCAGAGTTTTTACGGCGCTCGCAACTGCATAAGGTCATATGAACGCCAAGGGGTGGAAGTCAACAGAGAAGTCCATACAGGGCATCAAGCTTATTCTGCTCACCTCTCTAGCTTCAACAGCACAAAGTCTGCTTCGACTATCAAGGCACCCCGGAAATAGCAGTGTGACAAACATACAAAAGCAGTGGAGGAAAAATGACGATAGTAAGGATTAGGAAAGAAAAAGCAACAGTTCCTTGTTGCAGTTCAGGTACAGTTATGAGCATGACGTTGATGAATCAGCCCATTTACAATTCTACTGCGCATAAGAACCTGTTAATGTCACCCCTTTGGGAATGGCATAAAGACAGTAGTCAGTAGCATCGCCCCGTAGGGTGACTCGTATTTCTGCAGTCCTGAGTCTCTAATGACTTCTGGAAGAATAAACCATAAAACTGTTCCGTTGATTTCACACACTATTCCCCTCCTCGTGTCCTCTTAAGCCCCAAAAGAGGAATGCCGTCTGAATCGAGAAAGTACAAGGCAATGCGTAAACCCAAGGATGTGAGTGGTTGGCGGGTGCTCTGGTGTGGTTTGCTTCTTCTTTCCTATCAAACATCTATTGTCTTTACCCCCCCCCCCTTCTTCTTTTTTATGTTTGTTACTCTCTTGTAACACCTCTGATCTTCTGGCGCTCACGTGACCTTATGCAGTTGCGAGCGCCGTAAAACCTCTACTAAAACTAAATTAACTAAACTCCAGGATCTCAGTTCCTAAAGACAGCTGTTCCTGTCTGCTGGGCAGTACTTTGTTGGATCAGCAAACCATCTTTCAGCGATAGAAAGAATAAACATAGATACAAAAGAAATCAAAATAATAAAAATAATAAAATAATAATACATTAAATAGCATTTGTACAACGCATATCTACTCTCGACAGCAAGCCCTGTGTGCTTTACACCAGCAGACCATAGAACATTCATAAAAACATTCTCAGCTTCCCGAGAGCATATAGTGCAAGCAGCTGATTAAGCGCTCAAACACTAACAAACTGACAAGATATTTTACTGTTTATAGCTGTGTACCCATTCCCACCTGGGGGAAGTGAGGAAAAATCGTGTGAAGTGCTTTTCCAAAGGACACAATGTCGCACTCGTTACGGGATTTGAACCCACGACTTTACGGTTGCGAGTCTGAGAGCCTGACCAGTAAGTGAAACAACGTGCTCATTCCAATTTAGCAAGCCAATTTCAGTTCAGATTGAGATCGGGTTTAGATCCCTTATCTGCGCCGTGAGGGCTCAAGTGATTAAGTGATTAAGTGAATAGTGTGTTTCGACTCGAGAGTAGAGTCAAGCAAGTATCGGTGACACGGGGATCAGATGGTTGATCACTGGGGTTTGTCCTTGAGCAAAACACCACAACCCTAGCTTTAAGTAAGAAAATAGACAGAGCGCTTCACGGTGGCAACCAGAAATGGCATGGTTGTGAAATTGTTCTGCATTGGTGTAATATTGTGTATTTATATATTATGTATATTATGTGTATGTATTTATGTATGAAGGTGATTATAACTATGTACTTAAGTAAGTTATGTATGTATGTTTGCCATTGTAAACCAGATTGCCCTCTGGGATCAGTAAAAATGTAATTCAAAGAAGAAAAAAATCTAAATGAGAAGATCGAGATAATATTTAGGACATGTTTTGAGAATGCAAGAGACCAGACTGCCCTATCTGACATGGTATTATTAATAATAATAATTGCATTTGTATAGCGCATATCCATGCTCAAGAGCATGCTCTATTCGTTTTACAACTATTATTACCCCAGCAGACCACCTGAGAATACTCAGAAACATTCTCGGCTTCCGCAGAAGCATACAGTACAAGCTGCGGATTTCACGCGCTCAAACACTATCACACTGACAAGATCGTTCACTGTCTATAGCCGGGTACCCATTTCCACCTGGGGGAAGTGAGGAAAATTTGTGCAAAGTGCCTTTCCCAAGGACACAACGGCGGGCCCCTGACGGGATTCGAACCCACGACCTTACGGTTGTGAGTCCGAGAGCCTAACCACTAGGCCACCGACGCCACAATTATTGCAGATCAAATTGAAAAAGAAGAAGAGGCAGACACCAGCTGGAAGTTACAGAAGCACAATCACGGATGAGGCAATCACCCAGGGCCGAGACGTTTCAACATAGGAGAAAGTGGCCCGGGACAGACAAGTGTTGCGTCGACTGCTCTTTACCTTGTGTACCTGACGGTTTAGGAAGAAACTAAGTTTAGGATGTATAAGAGGCAGGGTGCTCTTTGACTGGCAAAAACCATGCCCCCCCCCCCCCCCCCCGCACACTAATCGATTAAAATTAGTTCTTAATATCATGTTGAATCAAACCAAACGAGTCGAGCCCTTCACAGACTGAACCGTCATAGGTTCGTTAAATCTTAAAGTTACGCAACTCTAGAAATTTCACAACGATTGAAAGGTGACTTTTCATAACTTCCCTTCCTGTATAATGCAGTTTTTTTGTCTTTTTGTTTTTTGTTTGCTTTTTGGTGTGTGTGTGTGTGTGTGTGTGTGTGTGTGTGTTTTTGTTTTGTTTTTTTTGGTGTGTTTTTTTAGGAGGGGGGGGGGGGGGGGGCTTGTCCAGCGCTTCTTTATGTTATACTTCGTCATTGTCGTCATCATTGTAATTCCATGGCACTGGTTCTTTATGAGGTTCCATATCTTCAGTCGTGAAGCAATCCATTTGCATATTAGCTGCAAGATAGACACTTTTCTTCCGGGTGTTGCTACTGCTGCTGCTACTGCTGCTGCTGCTGCTGCTGCTGCTGCCGCTGCTGCTGCTGCTGCTGCTGCTGCTGCTGCTGCTGTTGTTGTTCTTTCTTTTTTTTCCTTCTTCTTCTTCTTCTTCTTCTTCTTCTTCTTCTTCTTCTTCTTCTTCTTCTTCTTCTTCTTCTTCTTAAGGTCTTTTGATGTCAAGTAACAATAATTGGTTTGGAGTTGAGATCAAGTTCAAGCGAGGTCTGAAGTGTTAACTCCTTCTCTTTTAATTTACAAGAAAAAGGATTATCATCATCATATGCCAGATCTGCGGCAGACATCGGCGATCATGGTTTTCCATTCATTCCTTTGCTCGGATGCTTTTAAAAAAGCTACGTTACCCTGATCTTTCCCAGTTACCCATCTCTTTAGGTTCTCTAAGTAGGTTGCTCTGGGCTTACTCCTGCCTCGTTTGCCTTCCGTTTTGCCATTGAGAGCTAGATGTTCAAAACCTTTATATGTCTGTTTAGGTGTCCCAAAATTGCATTTGGTCTTGTCCTGATTGTTTTCATCAGTGATCGTTCCACGTGGGCTTCGTCAAGTACTACCTCATTTGATTTCTTTTCCTTCCAAGATATTATCAGCAGTCTCCTAAGAAACCACTTTTCTGTTGCTTCTATTTTATTTTCATTGACTTTAGTAATTTCCAGCATTCACAGATACATAGAAGGTTTGACCATACATGGCGCTTCAGAGCTTTCATTTTGGTAGTCATTGAGGTGTTTCTATTTTCTGGATTAGGCTCATTTAATTGAAACTAGCCTAAACCATTACAATCCTTCGTTTGATTTCTGAGGACCTTTTGGCGTCAGATGTTATTGTATATCCTAGATATTTAAACTGTTAGACTCGTTTGATCTTTTTGCCTTTGCTTATAAGATTACAAATTGGATTTGGTGTTTTTTACCTGATATTACCACGCAGTCTGTTTTCCTCATATTTAACAAAAACCTTTACGTTCACTTTTTGTTACAACAGTATCTAGAAGCGATTGAAGGTCCTTTTCTGAGTCTGGTGCTATTTATATTTTCACCATTCCCTTTGAGACCTCGACATTCTTCTATGTATTCCGAAAGTATAATTGAACAATAAATGTGACTTTTCTTTTGTGTTTGTTTAATTTTTGGTAATTACAAAGACAAATAACGTCATCAATTTCAATAAGCTACCCCTCCCCCCCAAACCCCCCCCCCCCCACAACAAAACAGCAACAACAACAACAACAAACAAAACAGCAAAAACAAAAACAATAACAACAAACAAACAAAACAAAACAACACAAAGAAAAATCAAAACAAAACGGCACAAGATCGAGAGATCTGGGCAATCCCGGTTTCTTCTTCAAGCTCAAAGCATAGATAAAGAGTCGTATAAAGAGAAGATTATCAAATAGAACAAACGTTATTAAAGCGAAGACAAAGTGAACAATAAAACTGAATCACAGCCATTACATCGGTCTTGTATTTACTCAATTTAATTTTCATTCAAGAAGTCTCAGTCGTTACAGGTCACAGCTGCTGAAGAAATAGCATGCACCTGTTGAGAACTGTCGGAGCTGCAATGAATTCTGGGGTGTCATTCTAAATTCTTTTTAAAACTGGACAGGCTACGACTTCTTCAATTTGCAGTTTCGAATGTGTAATAAGGTCAGTACGAGCCTACTGAATATACCGACTCAGGTAAGGATGAATTATGAGCATGCTCCACTAATCAGGATACTTTCCTTTTCTTACATTTTTGTTCATAGATCTATGTCTTAACTTTGCCAAACATCTTTTCCACCGTGGCAACTCGTCTCCTGGCGTATTCTTTGCTGCTCTGCCGCACTGCCATGTGTTTTAAAAGACTTTAGTCTCTCACCAGTCGTCGTCATCTTTGGGTGGTTTGGCATAGCTGATGGTACAGCAGGCCAAACGTGCCCCCGCATTGCCGGAAGATTTACTGGACGGTGATTCTGACATGCCAAGGTCGTCTGCGGCGCCATGGATCTGCAGGAAGAAAGTAGGATCAATGAGACGGTGGCTTGAGTGGCGTCAGGATCAATGAGACGGTGGCTTGGGTGGTGTCAAGACTTTTATGGTTACGCTACCTTAGAATTACAAAGTTCTATCTGATATTTTTGGCCGTTTTGAGTTACTGTATTAAACCAAAAGGTTAAAAACCAAATGTTCTATCTGCTCTAAAAAAAAAAGTTGTAAGATTATCCGGAGTCGTTATTAAGATATTCAAAGAATTGCATTCGAAAAACTTGACATGTTGTGAAGCTTAATTTTTTTAAACGTCAAATTGATCAAAACTAGATAAAATATTGTAGTTCTAGCTGGGGTAGCGGTTGGTTCCCAGACTCGCAATCGTTAGATTCTGGGCTCGGTGTTTGAGGCTCAGTTCTGTCCGATGTTGTCCTTGGGAAAGACTTAGCAAACATTTTCATGTATTATCATAATGACACTACCCAAAAGGACCATCTGTCCTAAGATAACGACTTTTTTATATGGGGGAAAATCGATAAGCTACTATGCCAAAAATTGTAGCTTTATTGGCCCTTCATGAAGGAAATCTGGCTTTCTACGACTCACTTCGATTGAATCCGATTGGTAGTGTGTACCCCGAGCATCATTATCCCCATTAAGTGCCAGATTGAAACAGATATCTGCCATCATGGCTGGAATTTCATTTCTTTGTTCAGATTATGCTCTTTTAATATAAACACTATTATCCCGGTCTTTCCCCGTCGTCAACCATGTGTTTCGCTTTTCCAAGTCCGTTGCCCTGGGTCTACCACTACCTCGCTTGCAATCTATTACTTCAGTGAGACCAAGAGACCGTTATATCAATTCTAGTGTCCTAGAAATTTAGAAACACTATGTCTCTTTCTTATCATTACTGTGTTTATTTAGTGAAGAGCCCACATGGCCTTCTTTCAGTACTTACTCATTTATTTTTTCTCCTCCACGAAACAAAATTCTCAACAGTCTACTGAGAAACCATATTTCTGTTGCTTATTTTTTTCCACTTTCTTTAGTAATTGTCCAGCATTCACAGCTATATACCATTACGAACTGGACATTTCGCCTGGAAAGTAATGTTTGTTACAGATATCCATTCCGTACCCTGAGCAAAAAATGCACGAGTTGATTTGGGAGATTTTGTTAGCTGATACGTCTAAATTGAAAATAAAACAAACATGTTGCTCGGGGGTGAACTGCTTTATCATCTTTTCGTTGGGCAAGAGCAATTATTTTTTTTAGAAGCAACATAATCCGAATCTATGTTCTAGCTTCCGGTCAATTTTGATGTCAGTTGAGTCATAAACAAAAAAGTTATTATCATTTCTTTGAACAAACTTCTTTCTGGTCAGCTGGCAGGTGGTATATATAATATGTCTGACATTTGTATATACATGCACATAAAGCACACTTACCACAATACTACGGCCAGCTATGGAATCAGCACCGATCAGTGTTGAGTCAGTCACACGGAACTTGATGTTGACTTCTCCCCTACTGTTCACCTTAAGATTACCAAGGTCTCCGGCATGTCTGTAAGTAGATGGTGATAACACATTGGTGGATTTTTGGTCAATAAACAACCTGTCCAACCCCCACCCCCACCCCCAGGGCAGTGCTACTGACTGACGTGTCTATAGGCCATTCCCAAAGGGGGAGGGGGGATATAAATATGTTCTTATGCACAGTAGAATTGTAAAGGGACTGATTAGTTATCAATGTCACGCTCATGCTGTTCTGGAACGACACAGGAGGGACTGCTTCTTTTTCTTTTCTCGTCCTTGCTATCGTAATTTTTCCTCTACTTCTTTTGTATGTTTGTCACTCTCTTGTGAACTGCTATTGCTGGAGTTCCCTGATAGTCGAAGCAGTGATGTTGAGGCT